TCTCTCTCTCTCTCCTCCGCCCCGCCGCCCCCTCGCCTCGTTCTTTATAGGCTATGAGGAAGAGTTAAACCTCGCCCTCTCTGTATCTCTTTCTTTCTCTCACTACCTCTTTCAGCACATGGCGTATTTTGGGAGTCTTTCAATCGGTATACACAATAATAATAATAGGTGTCGGTTTCGTTGAAGGTCTACTGCGCTACGGCGGTCTACATTACGTCTCACCAGACGGTCAGAGAAACGTTGAAGTCCCTGATCCTGATTGACCACGATAACGAGAGCTTGGGGATTGGGGGGACGGGGGGAAGCAGAGGCATTTCCGCATTTAGATCAAAGGTTGTGGCGTTTACAACCGGGCAATGTGGATGGGTTAATTGCTCCATGTTGTGGTGACGTTTACATAAAAAGGATTTTTGTGGTGTAAAGATTGATTAAAGAATGAGTCGCGACAGCAAGTGGCCAGACGGCATATACTTTCCAGAAATCATCCTCCCCCCCCCACCCCACAACATCGGCATACTACAGCAATCAAAACATTTTTTATAGCCAATGACAGTCTCAAGACTCAAGAACAAACTGTCACAAGTCTCAGGCCTGCACGAACAGGTAGACCTTCAACTAAACCTGGCGCTCTCGTTCTCACGCGCGAGTGTGTGTGTGTGTGTGTGTGTGTGTGTGTGTGTGTGTGTGTGTGTGTGTGTGTTAGTGTGCGTACATTCGTGTGTGCGCGCGTGTGTGTATGTGTGTGTGTGTGCGCGCTCGCATGTGTGTGCGTGTGCGTTTGCGTGTGTGTGTGTGTGTGTGTGTGTGTGTGTGTGTGTGTGCGTGCGCGCGCTCGCATGTGTGTGCGTGCATGCGTGTGCATGTGTGTCTGGGTGAGTGTATCTGTGTATGTGTGTATGCGCGTGTGTGTGTGATGCAGTGCAGCACTCTTTCCTTCCTCTTCATCATAAAACCAAAAAAACCCTCAACAAACCACCTCCGAAATTAGGCCTACTTTCAAAGCTAAGCCATAGAAGTGCAATTTGCCTAGTAATTACCGTAGTAATAAGAGGTCACTTTAACACAACATTTGTTTTTAAAGTCAGTTTTTTAAAATTCTTTCCAGTCTGGCTTTTCGTCCACAGTTCATGATAATACATTTTAATCAGTTCCAGCTTCACTCTGAGTATGACTGCTGTAGTGACGAAGGCACGATTTTGTGTTAATGCATCAGGAAGACTAACGTGTTAAAATCTATGGGACGACCGAAGACTGAACCTAGTTTTGCAGAGGTCAGCAGCTTATAATTAAAGCGAATACAGAAAAAAAAGAGTCGAAGAAGTTAATAATTATGAGTGTTCTATTCAATTCTTAACGGAGTTGAGCAGAAAAGTAGTGTGTGGAGTGTGTGTATTATAGTGTGTGTGTGTGTGTGTGTGTGTGTGTGTGTGTGTGTGTGTGTGTGTGTGTGTGTGTGTGTGTGTGTGC